AAAGCCGGAGGTGGTCAAGCTAAGACCTGGTACGAGGGTATGAAAACTCTAACCAGGTGACTGGGTAACTTAGGTCCTGTTAGGCTCCCTGGCTGGGAACCTCGGGATGATCGTAACCGGTGGTTAGAGACACTGAGTAATATGGCTGTGTGTCGTAAACAGTGGCGTTCGTGCATCTCCTCAATTTCTTTCCAACCTTAGTCCACTGAACTTCTCCATTTTCTTTTCGAATCCACTTTCAACTTTCCTTTCTTCTGCTATTCTTCATCTCAATGGGCAGTCAAAAGACAGCAACCAAAACCGGCGCACGAAAGTGCATGGTTAATGGTTGTTCAAACTGAACTGAACTGAAACTTATACGTATAAAAAATGAGAACACAAATTGGCAAACAAGCTCGTTTTTTCGTGTCTTAATCATGCCATTACAACACAATAGATATGACTAGCATCAGAGAAGGATTTACGAGGAAAAAGGAGAAGAAAAGTAATTAACTCATTCAAGAGATTGTTTCATAATTGGTCCCCAATTATCACTTGCTCCGATGTTGTTTGACAAGTCACTTGTCGGCAATCCGACCATGGGAGCTTGAGTGCTGGCGCAAATTGTTTCTGAGCACACAGAAGGAGTTGTGAAGACAGGTGGAAACTGCCTCCGCTGTGACTAGAATGCGAAACCGCACGTGTCTTAACACGTGTCTATACAGGGGTCGGAACGCTTCGGTCACGTTTACAATGTGATTAGTATCGACAAGGTGCGACACGACTGCACTTAATTGCTCCACTTCACAACCACGCAGGGTGATGCTCACGGATGCGCCCGGGCAGACGCCTGGGCGTGCGGCCAACGTACTTTGCTCCACAGGAACAATTGAAAGAGTAAATACAGAAAGAGGCAGTGGAATCGGGCACTCTATCCTTCAACCGTAGATACACCAGCGGGCTAGATGTGAATCGAGTTTGAAGCTTTGCCGCGTAGAACGTCTTATTGAAGGAATTTGATAACCTTCTGTGCACAATCTCTGTCGAAGTGTCACCTTTAAATGGTAAAGAAATGTACACAAACTTCTTCTCAGCAATTACCCGCTTGAGAAATACCGCTTGCCGTTGCATGACAGATTCCACCAAGCGTTCCTGATGTCCATTCTGCATGACGATGGTCCGTACATTTTGGAGTTCTTCAACCAGCATGTCTTTCGTGCAAATTTTTCTAGCTCTATTGACCAAACTAAGTATGAGATTCTTCGTCATACTGAGTGGTACAAAGCTACGGAAATGAATGTACTGCCCATTCCAAGTTGCCTTCCTGTGTACTGACCGCCTGATAGGTCCGTCGTCACAGCGAGTTAGGCAGACATCCGAATATGCTAGTTGACTGTTTGCTTCATTTCCAATCGTGAATTTCAAATTCCGATGTGCAGTATTGAAATTGATAGTATATTTTGGCACTCCGTTGTAGAATCGACCACGCACAAAATACCGTCTACGTAACGTTTGTAAAGTACGCATTGTTCGATATGTGTTTTAAGTGGATCATTTTCTATTTTAGACATGAAAACATACAAATATACAAATATTCATGCATGTTTAACTTGACTTACAGGCAGTCCCACTATCTAGTAATATCGTACATAAATCTAAGTCCCAGGGACCGAATTGTCGGTTCTCTTCTCCCCCTCCTGCATTGTGGGACTCAGTCCTTCTACTCTTCATTGCCTAGACAAATGTACTTTTAAAGAAAACAAGCTCAACTTATTATGTCCATAGTCATGTGTGATGACTGGTTAATGCTTTCTGGATGTCAGTTATTTCTGGGGCTTTTGTGTTCTCGGTATTATTTTCATTGCTGCTTCTCTGTGTGCGTGAAAGTATCATTCACACTTCCCTCATTCTCTTTTTTTCGTTTGGATTACAGGTCTTACAGAGGATGAGTTATTGAAGAAGGAATTGCTTTGTATCCTGGCCCCGGAACCACGAAAACGCAGTGACTTATCCAGTCTGATTCCGGAACGTTGCGGAATCACCAGTTCCCCGAGCAGTCTTGACGACTTGCTCAAAACGGTAAATCGGCCCTAATCCATAGCTTTCACTTTCTCTCTCTATGTGTTTCATTCTCATTGAGGATATGGCTTATCACTACTTTGTTTGTTCACCTTCGCGTAGGACTTTGCACGAATATCTCCTGTTGAAGGCCGAGTCTGTTTCCGGTACAGCCACCGAAGTGTGATTGCTTAAGTCGGCATACGGGCCAGCATTC